TTCTTCTTTTTATAAGCAGAACAGTCTAGGGTCTCTCCTTACAAACAGTCCTTAACATTCAAACTAAATGAGTGAGAACATGAAATACATTATGAAAAGAGAGAGACACTGATTCCAATGATGCAATCAGGCTCATTGGCATTAAAGCATACCATGAAGGTGACACCACCACACTAAGACCAAATACTTACTATCACTGGATTAGATCTTCATGGGCTCAATTACCCAAAGAATTAGATGACTGCTGGCATTCTTAACGATATTTTTCCAAAACACATCAAGAACTAAAAAAGAACTAAAAAATCCACTACATTTTAAGGAATGAACACTACAGGAATTTCATCCGAAGCACTTTATTACTTCCTTGTCAGCTGTAAGTGTAAATCTCTCTCAGGCCAAATTCCACATCTGTCTATTTGAAATGTTTCATAAGCTAAGGAAAGGGGAGCAGTCATCTTCTGGGAAATTCAAGAGCTCATACAGCTATTTCATCCCTTCATTGTAATCCTAGGATAGTAACTCTTCAGCAGAGATACACAAAAAAATGGGTATAATATTTCCTCTTTTTTCCCCTATAGCATGAAAATTTACAGAAAATACTAGAAAATATGATTTTTATGTGTTAATGTTTTATTTGTGAATTAAGATATTGAAAATATTATAGATACAGAGACAGAAACACCTAAGAATATCATTAGTTCATATACATGAAAGCAAAATGCAGTGAAACTTCATGATTTGAGAATAACTACAGAAAAGGTTGGGTGGAATTTGGGAAAATTCTGACCCACAAAATTAATTTTATTTTAGTGTTATAATGTTTCCTTATATTCATGATGCAGAGTAATGTTCAATAAATGCATGTTACAAGAAAGAATGAATATATGTGTATCTCTAACTATATATATTTAGAGATATTACCTACCTGTCCATATATATATTAATTATAATATTAATTATATATATAAATGAATATATGACAATAAAGGATAAAACTTATGAGACCTACCTCATGAATAAAGATCAATCATCAGTAATTGATATGTTGATTACTTTTATATCAGACCTTGTGAAAGCAGTTTTAGGTAACTAAATATTCCACAAGTATTTTAATGTCACTACACCCATATACACATTCATACACACATACACACACTTCTTGTTTATACACTTAATTTGCTAAACAAGTTAATTTTTTAACACCTGAGATATCAGGATAGCCATGGTCTGAATTATGACAAATTCTGAACTAGTAGAGTATGAAAGAATATACCAATTACAAAAGAAAATAAAATCAGATGAAATATATTAACCTTTATATTATGTAAATGAAACAATGACATACCTGCCATTATAATGTGTCTTTTAAGATTTATATGTTAAGGGCTGAGGTTGTGGCTCAGTTTCAGAGTTCTTGCCTAGCATGTGTGAGGAACTGGGTTCTCTCCACAGCACCACATCAAAATAAATAAATAAACAAATAAATAAAGGTATTGTGTCCATCTACAACTAAAAAAAAATTTAAAGACGTATATGTTAAGATATCTAAATTGAAGAAATACTCTTAAATAAATCTAATAATATCTTAACTATATGTAACTCTTTTCACTGGTATTTTTTCCAATAGCTAATGAGAAATAATTTAATGACAAAAAATAATATATAAAATGTCACAATATCTGAAAATACATACCCTGATCATTCTTTTATGGTACATTTTTATTAGTTTATTCTTTAATATCTGGTGGTTTGGTTTTTGTTGTTGTTGTTGTTGTTTTTTGAGGTCATAAGATTCAGAGATTTATCTAGGGGCGCTTAACCACTGAGCAACATCTCCAGCCCTTTTTGTTTGTTTTTCTTATTTATTTATTTTAAAACAGGTTCTCACTATGTTGCTTAGGGCCTCCCTAAGTTGTTGAGGCTGGCATTGATCTTCCTGTCTCAGCCTCCAGAGCTACTGGGATCACAGGCATATACTACCACACCTGGGTTTTATGGTACTTTAAGACCCTGTCTTTAAGCTAAAAGAATCGGAGAAAAATAATATAAATGAATGCAGAACAAAATCCATTGCTTAGGCAAATCTAGCAGGATTCAAATAAACTGTTCCATACATATGACATAGAAACTATAGGTAGCAAAGATTCTTTCTGACAAATAATTTTTCAGTTGTCTGTAAGTGTGTGTGTGTGTGTGTGTTTGTGTATACTTGTTCTATATTACTTTAAAATATATTCTCAGATTGCAGAACCTAAAAGTATAAAGTTTTGCAAACCATTTCAATAATCTTTTTGGGAAAAGGACCCTTGAATGACCCACTAAAAATATCAACTGAATTCTTCAAAAGTATTTTATGTGGAATTAATTACATTTAAGTTTATAAAACAAGATTGATATAATGCCAAGTATGAAATTCACTGAGATGTAAATCAATAAATGATTATATCTTAAATATCTTTGCTAATGGAGGAATAAAGTTGAATGCCAAATCCAAAATATCACATAATCCCACAAATTATTTCTACTTGGTTTTACAAAGCATTTTTCTTCTAACATTTGACTGCAGGTGAGTAAGATATTCTTAGGTTATAAAATAAGTTCATGAAAAATAAGAAGGAGATTACTCTAGAACTGAAGTCGCATATATAAATAGGATGCTTCATAAATGTGCAGGACATGAAACATATACATCAAGTAAAATGTAAGGGTTCTGGAATCAAAAAGACCTGGGTTTGAAACTCAGCTCTGCCATTCACTTGCTTTATGACTTTAAGCAATTAATTTAAACTCACTGAGTCATAGATTATTTATATTGGTATTAAGTGTTTTATATCCATAAGAATACTACAAAGATTAAATGAAATATATATATATATATATATATATATATAAAACACTTAATACCAATGCCTGATATATAATAGGAACTTAATGTACATTAAGTTACAGCTTTTCTTTGATAGATAAGCTACTAACGTTTACTCAGGAATGGATTAGTTTCAAAGCAAATTTGAGAACCTTTCTTTTCTTCCATCTATGCATTCCCTAATAATCCAGACACATGGGCTGGGGTTGTGGCTCAGTAATAGAGCACTTGCCTCCCATGCACGGGGCACTGGGTTCAATCCTCAGGACCACATAAATAAATAAAATAAAGGTATTGTGTCCATCTACAACTGAAAATTTTAAAAAAAACACAGATTTGATTATGCACATGGTGCTTTTTCAAAGTTCTGGCAATATAGTTTTAGAAATTTAGAAATAGATATCATTTCTTGAGCCCCAAGATATATTTTATGTGCTGTTACAAATTCTGCATTTATTTATATACACATGGCAAATTGCTTATATCAGAATCTGTTTATAAATACTTAAATTTATCAAATTCATTGTCCTTTCCCCCAAACTCTCCATCTACATTTAATTGATTATCAAGTGTGATTACTTTTAATTACTAAAACACTCCAGAACTCTTTTCTACTCTATTGAAATTGTCTTTGTTCAGACACTTTGTATTTCTCCCTTGAACTGTAGCAACTGACCTTCCTTCTTCTGTAACTTTCATTGTTATCTACCTTTTACAGCAATTGTTTTGAAAATTTACTCAAGTTTTTAGCAGTGATTCCTTTTATATATAGTAGTTTTACTTAACAAAAGAAAACAATATCCTATGTGAGCAAGAACATATAAAATTCTGAGGCAGAAGTGTAAGGTCTTCACCAATTTCATGTCAGCCATGGAGAAAAGTCCTGAAATAAATTGTGGAAACTATTGGTCTTTAGGGAAAAATTAAACTACTTAATATGGTGAATCAAAAGCTAGCTTTGAAAGTTATTTCCTCCTTTCAGTTCTAATCATGTCATTTGTAAGTCTGCTAACTCAAATCTCGGTTCTAGTCTCTTCAATCTACTTCCTCTTCCTCCTACAACCCTGGGATCTTTTTCATTAGTGTCTATCTATGTGTGTTTCTCTCTGCTTGGAATATTCTTCCTCAAATTTTCCATCTATCCAATAACCTATGAGATATAACTCTAAGGTTTTCATCTCTCTGAGCATTGCCCAATTTACCAAAGTCATTTAAGTGTTTCCATATTGGAGCTTATAGCACCATGCTTATATTTATATTATGCTCTCTATCACACTTTAACACAATTATTAGTTTATGTTGTTTTCTCCCTACTGTGACCAGCATCACTACTTATATATTTTTATATTAGTTAGAAATTAACATCCAAACAAAGCAGGTGTTTTATAAATGTTTTTATCATTGAAGGTATATATATATATATATATATATCATTGTTCTTAAATTCATTTTCTACACTGTAATAATTTTAATAGTTTTCAAATACTCAATTACAGAAATATTAAGCTTAATTTCCAATTTTTGGCATACTTGTATATACCTTTTAGAGAATCAGGCAAGTTTGATTTTGATTTATGAGACCAGTATTTTTACCAATTAATCACAGTGTTCAATGAAAAACATTAAAGTATCATGCAGGACAATGACCACCTGCACATTTTTTTCCAATTACGTTTCTGTATGAAGGATGCATTTTCTTTCTATTGTTTTTAACCTATTGTAATATCTTGAATAACATACACAGATGCTCAGGTCCCCTAAATGTAAAAAAAATATCACTGAGATATATGAAATAAACAAGCAAGCTGCATTCTATAGAAGACTTTGAAATGATGCTTTTTTGGCCAATGCTCCCATCCCTGACCCCAACAAACAAATATATACATACATACAAAAAAAACTATGAGATGGGTTTCCTGCAAGGAGAAACATTTTTTTAAAATAATATCCATTTTATTTCAGAGTTGCTGGAGTAACAAAACTTGTTTTCATGAATACTCAAAAAACTCAATAATGTAACCTCTACTAGAGCTTGAAAAGCTCTGAAGGACAAGGCAGTTAGATCAATATTAGTTTATTTCAAATGCTGGACAGTATGAAGAGACAAGGCTGATCATCAGATGGATTTTCTTACCTGTTGGAGTAATAAGTCCTGGTGATAAGAGGCCTGGGACTGCATGGGGCAGAAGGCGGGCATTGTCTTGCAACACTCCCAAAGAACGTTTAGGGGGCCTACCAGGCCTTGAACTGTTGAAAAACAGACAAACAAAGATCAGGTTAAATGTATGTATTTTGGAAATATCATCACTTCTATATTCATTTTCTAAATCTCATTTAATTGCCAGGAGTGATAGAACTTTAGAGACTATGTATTGTCATGGATTACTAAAAGACCAATACTTTCCACTAAATTGCCCAATGTAGTTATGTCAAACATTAAAGACAAAAAGGATCAATTTCTAGTTTAGATTCAATTCACGGGCTAGCACTTTGCAATATAGCTCACCTGTTATGCGAAATCCTAAGTTACCTCCTGCTTTTAAAACTACACATGATCCCCAGCATTAATATATGTAACTAAGAACTGAGATAGTGACTCACAGAATTTCAACTGTACAGAATGTGATTTAGTCTCTGCTCAGTGTAACAAAGGTAAGGAAGGGTTAAAGAGCTGAGAGATGCAGGGGGGTCGGGGAGGCTGATGTTTATTAGCATTTCACAGCTTCTGGGAGTCCAAGGAATCCCCACCTTAAGTTGTTTGGGTTTTTTTCA